CGGGGTGTGTTACTCCGCCCGTGTATTAAATGTGTGTCCTCGAAAGCGCGCAGATTTCTAACCCATTTACTTTAACTTCAGTGATATGACATATTTCAGATGCGTCCGAAATTACCAGAACATATACATGCATTTAATTGTTTGATCAAAATCATTGCTAGGGACTATAGTCGCTGGATGGTCGGCACATGACCCTAGCGTCCCTAATTCTAGCCCCTGTGTAAACCAATCTGTTTAATCATCTGTACACAGAACACTAGACAGGGGAACGGTGGCTTGTTTTAATATTTTCCCAAATGCTTTCCAAAAGGTGATATCACGTTATTGTGTTGTTGTTATTTTGTGAATTCAAATATTTAAATAATACTTCATGATTATATGTTTTCGTCCTTTAAATAATGGCCCTAATTTAACCTTCACACAAATACATTCGCATAAAAATAGAAATAGCAAAAATAAAAATAAAAATAGCAAACTGGCTATTATCAGAATATTCTCTTGACACTGAATTGTGTGTGTTTTTAAATGATAACTGATCCAAACTCAGAGTACATTAACCTGATCTGACTGAGTCCCTGCGCTGCGATTATTAATGAGTTATTTATACATCTGTTATTCGTGTATTTGTGCAGCAAACAGATTGGGGTTGTTAGCAGACGTCATTTAGACACGAGTACGCGATGCAGGACGAATCTTGTTTTCAGTGTTTGGAGAACAGAATAAGAGCTGGGCTGGTGTAGTAGTATTTTTGTGATGTGTGATCAAGACTCTGATTGGTCAGTCAGAGAATTAGCAGACGGACGCAGCTGATGACCAGAGGAGAGAAATCAGAGGAAACTGACCGTGGCACAGAGTGTGTGCCCGCAGCGAGTCTGCTGCTTCTGATGGAAGAAGAACTGATGTGAACCACCACTGCGCGCGTAACGGGAATGTAAATGGAAAGAAGCTCAGCAGAAGTGGACATGCAGAAATGCTCAGGACTGTACCCTCGAAGAGAGAAGAGTAGCGCGTCACCTGTCAGACGCGCCGGACACCGGGGAAGTTCGTGCGAAGACGCGTCGCTGCGCAGGAGAGGAATGAAACTGCGCTCTGAAGGACTGAAGCTCTCTTGAGCTAAACGTGCTTTTAGACAGTCATGGAGTCTGACGGCTCTGCCGGTTTGGCGAAATCTGCCGCCCTAAAGTTGTCCGAAATGGGCGAAAGAACTAAACAGCTCGGCAGCGCGATGCAAGACCCCAACCGGCAGAGAAAGCTCATTCTGGTGATCGTCTGCGTCGCGCTTCTGCTGGACAACATGCTCTACATGGTGATCGTTCCCATCATCCCCGACTATCTCGCGGATTTGGAGACCGAGCAGGCTGCGCGCACTCATGCCAACTCTTCCGTGAGCAGAGCGAACCGGGACAGCCTGGACATTCAGATCGGGGTGCTGTTCGCCTCCAAAGCCATTCTGCAGCTCATGGTCAGCCCTTTATCGGGCACCTTCATCGACCGCGTGGGGTACGACATCCCGCTGCTGATCGGGCTTCTGGTCATGTTCGTCTCCACCTGCATCTTCGCGTTCGCGGAGAACTACGGGACGCTGTTCGCGGCGCGCAGCCTGCAGGGTCTGGGCTCGGCGTTCGCAGACACCTCCGGGATCGCGATGATCGCGGACAGATACACGGAGGAAGCAGAGCGGAGCCGCGCGCTGGGCGTCGCGCTCGCCTTCATCTCGTTCGGGAGCCTCGTGGCGCCTCCGTTCGGCGGAGTCCTGTACGAGTTCGCAGGGAAACGCGTCCCGTTCATAGTTCTGGCCTCGGTGTGCCTGGCGGACGGCGTTCTGCTCCTGACCGTGATCAGACCGTTCTCTAACGGCACGCGCGCGAACATGCCGGTCGGGACGCCCATCTACCGGCTCATGATCGACCCGTACATCGCCGTGGTGGCGGGCGCGCTGACCGTCTGCAACATCCCGCTGGCGTTCCTGGAGCCCACCATCTCCAGCTGGATGGAGAGCACGATGAACGCCTCCCAGTGGGAGATGGGTCTGATCTGGCTGCCGGCCTTCTTCCCGCACGTGCTCGGGGTTTACGTCACCGTCCGATTGGCCGCCAAATACCCGGAGCTGCAGTGGTTCTACGGCGCGCTCGGGATGGTGATCATCGGGGCCAGCTCCTGCACGGTGCCCGCCTGCAGGACCCCGGGCCAGCTGATGCTCCCGCTGTGCGGCGTCTGCTTCGGCATCGCGCTGGTGGACACGGCGCTGCTGCCCACGCTGGCCTTCCTGGTGGACGTGCGTCACGTGTCCGTCTACGGCAGCGTCTATGCCATCGCGGACATCTCATACTCTCTCGCCTACGCTTTGGGGCCTGTAGTCGCAGGGCAGATCGTGCACAACCTGGGCTTCGTTCAGCTGAACTTGGGCATGGGTCTGGTGAACGTGCTTTACGCGCCGGCGCTGCTGCTGCTCCGCTGCGTGTGCCAGATGAAGAAGTCCTGCTCCGAGAGGAACGTGCTGCTGGAGGAAGAACCCAAGGGACTCTACGACTCCATCCGCATGCAGGAGCGCAGACTCCGGAGAAAGGGCTTGTGCACCACGACCGCTAACGTGTGTCCCGTGGCCGAGAACGGGCTCTTCGAGGCACCCAGGTCTCTCTCGGAGGAGGAATCGTCGGGACCCGAGCTCACTTAACTACAGAGATTATACCGCAAACGTTCAGCTCTGATGTGCAATATTTATTCCCTCACTCATGACTGTGTGCGCTCAGAGACGTGTCTTTTATGATTTAGATAGAAACGATTACATTTGGCTCTGAGCGACTGTCTCTCCTGCAGTGTGTAGAAGATGTGAGTAGATGAAGTGTGTAGATGTAACTTCTCAAAACCCAAATAAAACCAATGGTCATATTTCCATACATGTGCCTTTTTACTGACTGAATCACTACTAATAAATGTGGCAACGAATGAACTTTTGTCGTTTTTTTATATTTATTTAAATTCTCAAAAGTCCTAAGAAGAAGGATCTTTAATCGACAGCCGAGGAGTTTTGTGTCCGCCTGGATTCGTGTGAGTTTGATCACTTTTCATGGAAACGAAATATATAATCTGGACCTGTTAACGTGGGAACAAATATAAGCAAATTATAAAGACAATTTAATTACTTACAGCTCTGAAATAAAAATGGCATCTTTCCCCTATAAATTTTGCAGATTATTTATCAGCGTTAGCTTCTTTTCATCACACAAGTCAAGTCACCTTTATTTATATAGCGCTTTTAACAATACAGATTGTGTCAAAGCAACTGTACAGCATTAATTAGGAAAATAGTGTGTCATTAATGCAGAAGGAAAATAGTAAACACTCAGATTTCAGTTAAAGGCAGTTCATCATTGAATTCAGTGATGTCATCATCCAGGGCTGAGTTTCTCGATATCGACTGATCTTAGATCTTAAGAGTTTTCTACGAGTCCTTTTACGATCGTTCGTTATTGTTTCACGTGCGTTTCCCAAAAATGCACTTAACGCAATCACACGTAGCTGTGCTTTCAGTGCTTCTTAGGAGTCGCTATCCGTGTCAAGTGCTGAAATGTCACCTCATAGAATGGCTCGTAATTGTAGTACACGCTCGTTTATTGAAATTTTAACCTAATGCTGCTTTCCAGACAACTCGGATATAATAACTATTATATTATATTATATTATATTATTCTATTCTATCTTTTATTCTTCTTCTATTTTTCCTGCCCTTTTTAATTATTTCATTTATAAATTCATAAAAACGAGTATTAAAGTGTACAATAAAGTACAATCAAAACTTAATATTATAATCACATTGCACTTGAATAAAGTTAAAGGTGTAATCTGCCGATTGTCCTGCAGGTGACCGCTTAAATCTGTCTTCTTACGATGCACCGAGGGCTTTGAGATTACTCCACAGCACTCCTAGATCTACGATGATTTTCAAGTGCTACTTAAGTTACGAAGCTTTTGGGAAACAGACCGTAATATTAAGATCAGTCGTACGATCGTTTTTACGAACTTCTTAGGCTTACGAAGCTTTTGGGAAACGCAGCACAGCTCAGTTCAGTTTAAATAGTATCTGTGCAATCAACACAACGAAAAAAATTAAACGATTCACTGTTCATCATTTTATATGATGAAAATAATCTTTATTAATCAGTATTTACTTAAGTATGTGTTCTAATTGCATACAAACCAGATTTTCTTTTTAAAAAAGCTATAAGTAAAGAGCATTAAATATTCTGTCTAGCATAATACGTTGGTGGAACAGAAGAAAGCAGCAGCTCTGGAAACACCTGCAGGACCTCAGCGCGAGGGGGCGGAGTCACGGGCGCGGTGGGCGGAGTCACGGACACCGGAGACCGGACACCGGAGCCACAGAGCGGCTGACAGACAGCTGACGCGCCGCCGGAGACACAGACACCGATCACACAGGTGAGCTATACATCAGCTCATTCATTCTGCTGAACTTACACAAGTTATAACGGAAGAATTTTCAATTAATTTCTCTAGTGATTAGTATTTGACAGTTTATGAAAAAATACTGTAGTTCTGTCAGTGTACACCTGATTCAAGCTGCCATTGTTGATTCTAAGATTTATTTATTTTTTTTAAATAAGAGCAAATAAAGTGATGTGATGTTTTTATCAGATCTGCGTGTGTGTTGAAGGCTGTACCTGTAGCTCAATGCTGCGTTTATTGTTTAATCCTGACATCAGGTTAGGAGCGTCTCAGTCTGCAGCGACTGTAAAACACTTCAAGCGCAACATTAGCGTCTGTTTTCATATTGTTTAGTCAATTTTATTGAGCAATCAATTAAAATGAATGGAAATTTGAATTGGGTAAATAATTACTCCCACCTCTGATGAACTTTGAGCAAGCGTTCAGCTCCATCCATCACACTAAAACAATGCTGAAATAGAAATGAGTCCAAATATGATCTGATAGACAGAGTGTCCATTGCATGTGGTTATTCCTGATAGAGTTCAGAAGTAAGGATGTTTCTGTCTGAGGTAATGTTGAGAGGTGCTGGACAGTCTCCACAGGACAGAGTTTGCAGTGTTGAGGAACCAAACATCAGAGAAACTCAAGATGAAGAGAGAAACAGCCGAAGCCCACAGCCACTGCAATGTAAGCAAATAAATATTGCTATGATTGTTGCTGCTGTTACCAAAAAGACAAAAGAAGTCTTCTTACCCTAGAGCTATAGTGTTGATATAACATCATGACTGTTTTCAGCTGAGTCTCATCTTCAGAGGAGAAAAGCTTAGTTCTTGTCCAAAGATCTGAAAGAAACACAGACACACATCAGCTGCCATCTGATTTTACTGTTGTAGATTTTTTCTTCAGATTGAAAACAAATTTCACACATGCACATATGATTTTCAGGATGCACATACAAAACATAACAAAATTTACCTTTTCTACTATTTTAAAACAGGTAAATCTAAAGCTAGAAAATCTGCTTTTATTAATAGAGCTGAACAATATTTCGTGAGATACTGTTTCTGAACCATATTGGTGCACCATTTGCATTTTGTTAATCAAAATAGTATTTTTGACCAGCACGAAAGGCTTTTAAAATCTTTTCTCCATTTGTCTTAAAACTATTCCTATAAATGATTAAAGCGAGAGCTGATAACACAAGACATCAGAGAGACTCAACAGTTACTGACTCATTAATGCTCCTCCACCGGAGGGCAAAGCCGCTGGAAAACACGGTCCTGTCCAACAGCCTCTTTGAGAAATCATCTCTATGGGACTGTGATGAATAGCATTCTTCTTCTCTTCTCCAGATGCTGCTCAAACTGCCTGTGCCGGACCTGCAGCACACACTGGACGCCTACCTGAGATCCGTCAAACACCTCGTTCCTGAAACGCAGTTCCTGAAGACCAAAGCTATAGTGGAGACGTTCGGCAAACACGGAGGCGCTGGAGAAAGACTGCAGAAACTGCTGCTGGAGAAAAGAGAAAAGACTGAGAACTGGGTACAAACACACTTACAGAGCTTCAACCCTGAGCTGTTACAGGAACGGCCGGCGTTCAGAGCAGTTAACACACTGAACCCAGTTTAAAGTCCCTTTAAAACAGATGAAGAAAAATAATGAGCAACTGATCTGTGGCTATTGATCCGTCTGCCAGGAAACATCACCGCTTTAATGTGACAGCAGCACTTGATAAATAATGGCACTTTACTCAAATAATATTTTATTGTGTCTTTGTCCCTCTTTCTCTTTCTCTTTCAAAGGCACTGTAGCTTCAAGCCTCGAACGAGTTTAATTAGAGCTCAGGAAATGATGAGCTGATGGTTCTGCTGTGTTTGTCTCAGGTGTTCGACTTCTGGCTGGAAGACATGTATCTGAAGAACAGATTGGCGCTTCCCGTGAACTCCAGTCCTGCGCTGGTTTTCCCCAAACAATCCTTCAGAGACATTAAAGAGTCTCTGGTGTGAGTAAATAAAGAGCACTAATTCATTCATGCACACATAACGTCACCGAAGATCATACAGCATTCTGCATCTCCTCTCTGTGTGAGTCTACAGTAGACAATCGTGAATCACTGCTCAACACAGTGCTGACTACAGTCTGTTTATTATTTAATATTAGTGGCTCTCTACACAGAGTTTTTTTCAGCTGCTTACACACATTTTCAGAACTTTGCCTCTTTTTTTCAAAACTTTACACACAAATGCAAAATGCCTCGCATCTCTTGCAAAATGAAGCACTGCATTCAAAATATCACAAACACGTCTCAAAAGCAAACATTTGCAAACACCTTTGCCATAATATTAATTCCTGTTAGATTTGTGTGTGTTACATAGAGAACTGTGTGTTGTGTTTTGCAAAAAGTGTTTTATGAAATTGAAAACTGAGTCAAAGTCTGAGATTAGTGTCTGGTTTTGTAGATTTGGTGTGTGCTTCTGCTGTTTGAGTGTCAGCTTTCAGAAACTGTGTGACAAGTGAAGACTTTGTGTGTAAGCAGTTGAAAAAACTGTAAGTATGTGAGTGCTCAACATGAGACAAACACAAAAGGAATCATGTGTGTTTGAAACATCCACCACCAAACAGACTTTATTTGCCGTATGATGACTTCGTGACAGCACAGAGCTGGACTTGCCGCTCTGTAAGATCTGACCACTGTTTGCAGGTGTCTCTGGTCGTCTTGAATGAGGTTTTCTAACGAGTCTCAGATTGAAGGGTGTATGTAAGATGTCTCCATCTCTGTCTGACTCTTTGATTGAATTAGAGGTTAAATTGGTGTTTGTCTCTTGTGTTTGTCCAGGTTTGCTGCTCGTCTCATCCTGAGTGTTTCTCAATACAAGGCGGCGGTGGACGGGTAAATCAGTGTCCTTCATCTAATTCAGCTGATCGAGTTTAGTCTGTGTCAGTAACACATGAGCGCTGTGTGTGTGTGTGTGAGTGAGTGAGTGAGTGTGTGTGTGTGTCTGTGTGCGTGTGTGTGTGTGTGCATGTGTGTGTGTGTGTGTACAGGTATATATGGTTTATGAGGACACAAATGTGTATAATGACATGGGTACTACAACGTAAACATGGTTTATGAGGACACTTCCTGTGTCCCCGTAAAACAAAAGGCTTAAAAAACATACAAAACGGTGTTTTATGAAATTCAAAAACTTGCAGCAGTTTCCTGTGAGGGGTAGGTTTAGGGGTAGGGTTGGTGTAGGGCAATAGAAAATACAGTTTGTACAGTATAAAAACCATTACGCCTATGGAGAGTCCCCGTAAACCACAAATACAAGTATGTGTGTGTGTGTGTGTGTGCATGTGTGTGTGTGTGTGTGTGTGTGTTGTAGGAAGACTCTGCTGCTGGATGTGGCTCGCGGTCAGAAGGCCGACTCGCCGCTCTGTATGGATCAGAACAAGCATCTCTTTAGTTCTTACAGACGTGCCGGACTCAAGCAGGACACACTCATCACAGCAGACAGCGTGTCTGATGCGGGACACGTCATTGTGGCCTGTAAAAATCAGGTGTGTGCTTTTGTTGTGTTACACCAGAGTGCTGCTGAATGAGTCTCTCATGTTTGGTGAAATGATCGATCTGTGATAAATGACAGTCGAGAAAAGGCCACGTTTAGTTCTGATTCTACAGAATCACACATTACAGTCGGCTCACTGAAGGATTTCTGCGGTCACCTTAATCTGATCCAGCTAATCAGAGTCGAATCGAGGCTCGAGAGGCTCTTAAATTAACTGCAGGTCCTGTGGCTCCATCGACAGACGCTCTTCACCGCTTCTCTCTCCTGCGGAGCGCTGCCGTCTCGAGGGCCGTTTACCTGGAAATGGCTCGGGAAGAGTCTCTAATGAGGTCCGGTCTGATAACTCAATAACCCAATCAGAGACGCAGAGCCGCGGGGAGCCGCTGACACCGGCACTGTTTGAGATCCGGCTGATGTCCACAAAAACCACTGAACAAACAATCAAACGCTGCTAGTTGCTAGCTGCTAGCCAATATTAGATCCAGTAAAAATACTACTAATCATGTCTTCGTTAGTATGTGCTGCATCCTGGTGAAAAAAATCCTTCTGTGATTTCACTATTCCTTTTTCCTTCCCTGTTCTAGATTGTTCTATTCTGAAAGATGTCTGAAACTTTGCATTAGTGGCACTTCTTGTGTTTATTGCCTCCTTAAGATGAATCGCTTGTTGTATTCCTCATTCCTCCAGTCGCTTTGGATAAAAGTGTCTGCTAAATGAATAAATGTAAATGTTACATCGCATGTATGTGGAGCTGATATCTTATGTCACTAAAAGCTCAATACTAACACTGCATGTCACGGTGTGTCTGTTCACTAAAGACGTGCGTCTGGTTCACATTCTCAGTTCTTTGTGCTGAATCTGATGGAAGGAAGCTGTAAACTGAATGAGGCTGATGTTCAGGCTCAGCTGGAGTGGATCTATGAGCAGACGCTGAGCACTGAGCAGAAGCAGCCGGCCGTGGGACTGCTGACCGCAGAGGACCGGATGGACTGGGCCCGAGCCAGAGACCAGCTGCTCAAAGGTCCAAACAACACTACATGGACACGGTGCTAATAGCTAGAGACACAGACTGATTAAACACTCAGGTTACATTCATTGCTCAGTGCCAGATATCCAGAAGTGAAATCACTTTCCCACGATCCTGTGTGTGACAGAGATGCATTTTAACGTGTGAAAAATCTATGGAGCAGATCCAGTGAATAGAGAGTCTGTGGAGCTGATGGAGCGCTGCGTGTGTGTCGTCTGTCTGGATGATCCCGCGGGACTCGAACCCAGTGACGCCAACAGAGCTGCCCTGGTGCTCCACGGAGGAGGACACCATAAAAACGGGGCGAACCGCTGGTACGACAAACCCCTGCAGGTAAAAGTGTTCAGATGCTCAGATGTGTTCTGGTATTAGATTCATGAAACTCTGTGAACTTGGTGGAACGGCCAACAGGAGTCTTTGGGAAACTTTGGCTTGTTTTGTAATTCTGTTCAGAGCAGGAATGGCGCACTGCAGACTAGGGCTGTAATGGTACACAAACATGACGGTTCGGTACATACCTCAGTTTTGATGTCATGATTCGGTATGGTTTCGGTACAGCAGGGTCGTTGAATCGCTTTTTTACAAATTAAACAGCGGTTTACTAAACGAATTGCTCTTTCTTTCAATTTAAAATAATTAACATTTTCTTGGGGATAAAAATCTACCTCACCTTCTGTTCTAAACTAGTCCTTCCACATTATCTAGGTTGCAATTAACAACAGAGCCCAAACTTTAATTTAAATACTATTTATTTTTTTATGTAAAAATCAATGCTCAACTTAAAAAATTGTTTGCAAACGTGTAAATTGCGCATAATGCAGTTTTTAAATTAAATTCTAAATTACAATATTTCTCTTTGTTGTTGAAATATAATCATTTACACTGTGCTGTCATAAGTTGTTTCATAACATATTAAATAATTAAGACATCACTAACAGGTAAAGTACTATATAATGAATGACTGATTGAGCAATTACATGAGGCATGAGATGCTCATTCATGTTTATTTCACGTTAAAACTAGTGATAAAGAGGAAGGGATGATCGCGCTGCCATTTTAACTGAGGTGTTTATACAGCAATCTGTCACACCACATCACAGAGCATCAAAACGGCATTTATTGTCTGAATTTCCTAAAAAAAAATTTATGATTTGTTCGGTACACATGCATACGAACCACAAGACCCACACCGAAAATGTTCAGTACGCATGCGAGTACTGATACACCCCTACTGCAGACACTTTGACTGAGCAGTAGACGAGAGCACTGCTGATGTCACGGATGTGTTTGTGTTCAGTTTGTGATCGGTGCAGACGGTGTTTGTGGGGTCGTGTGTGAGCATTCGCCGTTCGAGGGCATCGTTCTCGTGCAGTGCACTGAACACCTGCTGAAAGACATGTGCGTATCAACACAGACTAGCCAGCTAATCGCACAACTCAGCTCTTCTGCTAACTAATGGCTGAAGTTACTTTCTGAAGCTCTGGACAAATGTGAGAGTGTGAAATGATGCTATAATAACTGAAGCTGAATGAAGGTCTCTTCGCTGCAGACGCTCCTGTAAGCAGAGCTCCGGTCGGAGCGCGTCTGAACTTCCTCATCCGCACAGATTACTGTGGAAGTGTTCCCCTCGGATTCAAGGCGCACTGGCGTCTGCTGCGGATCACCTGCACAGGTGAATCAAACTCTTCCAGTGGTGATCTAGGAACAGTTAATTATCAACAGTTTCTTGTTTTGTTAGAAAGCTTGATCCTGCAGGCATCAACCGTGGTTTGATTGACGCTCTGAATGCTCTTCTGTCTCTAGACTCGTGAGGAATCTCGACATGAATGTTTTCACGTTTGCGGTTTATGGGAAGGAGTTCATCAAGCAGCAGAAGATGAGTCCTGACGCGTACATACAGCTGGCTCTGCAGCTGGCCTTCTACAGGTGAGGAGCGACTGATTTCTCCTTCTCAGAGCCGGACTCTACGTCTCCTTACTGTTTTCCACAGATGTCACAGAAGACTCGTGTCCACCTACGAGAGCGCTTCTCTCCGCCGCTTCCGGCAGGGACGCGTGGACAACATCCGCTCCAGCACTCCTGAGGCGCTGGCTTTCGTGAAGGCCATGACAGACGGAGGAACATCCACTCAGGTTTCACGTTTTTCCGTCTCTCCTTTATTTTCTGCCATAAACACAGAATATCTAGCGTTAATCTCAGCTCTTCATCCCAGGACGCAGAGAAGATGGAGAAGCTGCGAGCGGCTGTAGATGCTCAGAGTAAAGTCACAGCTCTGGTGAGAGAATACAGACGGCTGACGTCGTGCTGATGTTTTTATGTGTGCGCTGACGAGCTGTTTGACCGTCTGCAGGCCGTCACGGGGATGGGGACGGACAATCACTTACTAGGACTGCGTGACATTGCCAAGGAGATGAAAATGGAGACGCCAGACATATTCTCTGATGAAACGTACCACATCAGTAACCACTTCATGCTGTCAACCAGTCAGGTAAGAGCAGCATACTACATAAACACATACAGTTTTATAATTAGAGTGACGTGACGTGTAAGTATGGTCTCCCATACTCTGAATTTGTGCTTTGAATTTCACTCATTAACTGTAGTTATAATGGTCTTTGTCCTCTAACTGTACCGTATGGAAATATATGAGGTAACAATGCAGTCATTGAGTCTTCCAGATCATATTTCACTCTTCACACACCGTTGTTTTATTCCCTATTATTTTAGAATTATTCTAAGCAAGTCACTTCTGCAAATAGTGGCAGCAGGGATTGGTTTAAATGGTTTGATCAGGCTGTTCATGATGGTGAGATGATGTACAGTGTGTGTGATGCAGGTTCCCACCGCAGAGGAGATGTTCTGCTGCTACGGTCCGGTGGTTCCTGACGGTTACGGCGTGTGTTATAACCCTCGGCCCGCTCACGTGCTGTTCTGTGTGTCCAGCTTCAGAGAGAGTAAGGAGACATGTTCAGGGCTGTTTGTGAAAGCGCTGGACGAGGGACTGCAGGACATGAGGATCCTGTGCACTAAACACACAGATCACAGGAACACGCCAAAATAACAGCATCACGCTCTGATATTTTCATAGCAACAATAACCACAACTGTAAACTGTTGCGCTGCTTTTAGAATAGAAACCTCTCTGACCACAGAGGAATGTGTGTGTGTCCCTTACATAAATATACTATATACTGGCATGTATTTATACATAAATAGATATATCATAATATTAGCATGTTAACATATTTAGATAACTATACTTTTAAAATAATTATGTATGTATGTATAAGCTTACATACTTGTTAGTGTATAGTCTGTAAAAGCACACTTTAAGTAAAAGTAATATTGCTAAAATCGCCACAACTAGTCAAACACACACACGTAAATATACATATACTTTACATACTACAAGAAATTATGCATTTAAAGAGCTTAACCCTAAATTAACTGCATATGAATGTGAATATCTGTGTGAAAGCACAGACTGCATTTAGAAATACTCGTTTAGATGCACTGTGTTTATTAGAGTGGATATGTATTTTGTGTGCTCAAACATCATAAACATAAAGATTTTAAATATATATTTTGAAATGTGCAATAAATTCAGTTAAAGTGCAATAAGTTAAACACTGTGATGTAGATATTTGCACTAGAGACATATGCACTAATAATCATCATCAGTATGAACTCCTGACTCACAGGAACAGATGTACGCAAGAAAATACTGTCTTTGTTTTTGTTGAACTTATTTGTTATTTATAATATGTAATGATGTCTGCTGCATTCATTTTTTACTGTCTCATGATTATCTTCATGATTGCTCATAAAATGTATTTTATAAGTTCTATGCATTTTACTCATGTATAATTGATTTGCCATGTTACTTTATATTAGTGTGTTGTGTCAGTAAATTATGTTGTATGAAATATGAATACATCAAAAATGAATAAATAATAATTATAAGTAAATAAACTGGATTTTATTGCATTACTGATGAAAGCCTGTGCAAATGAGAGCCAAACAGAATGAGTCAGTGAATGCTCACAGTCTGAAGAAAGAAGCTGCAGGTGCACCAACATGCATGTTGGGTTTCCATGGTTTATGAGGACTCTCCATAGGTGTAATGGTTTTTATACTGTACAACGGTATTTTATATCACCCTACACCAACCCCACACCTAACCCTACCCCTCACAGGAAACTTTGTGCTTTTTTAGATTTTCAAAACTAATTCTGTATGATTTATAAGCTTGTTTCCTCATGGGGACAAAAATGTCCCCACAAGGACAAGGATTTCAGATATTGCCATCTTTGTGGGGACATTTTGTCCCCATAACGTAGGGTTTACCAGGAACACTCACACATGTGCGCTCACACACACACACACAGTCACACTTTTGAGACATCAATGATCATTGGTTCTACTTTCATTTCAATTAAATTCAATTCAAGTTTATTTGTACAGCGCTTTTCACATACAAATCGTTGCTAAGCAACTTTACAGCAAATTAAGTTTCTACAATATTTAATGGTAGCTTATCAGTGGTGACTGTCAGTTAATGTACATATGGCAGAAATGTACGGAAAAATTAATTAAAGACGTAATCAATTAAAGACATAATCAAACAGACGATGAACACTATTAACAGCAATTATTATATGATGCAATCAAACTTATAGCAAAATGTGGTAGTTCTGTATGTTGTTTCAGGGTTGGCATCATCTTTTTGTCCCCATAACGTAGGGTTTACCAGGAACACTCACACATGTGCGCTCACACACACACACACAGTCACACTTTTGAGACATCAATGATCATTGGTTCTACTTTCATTTCAATTAAATTCAATTCAAGTTTATTTGTACAGCGCTTTTCACATACAAATCGTTGCTAAGCAACTTTACAGCAAATTAAGTTTCTACAATATTTAATGGTAGCTTATCAGTGGTGACTGTCAGTTAATGTACATATGGCAGAAATGGTGCAGGCCATCAGCGCGAAAAAGCCTAGGACGCTCCCAGAAAAGATTCCAGTTATTAACAAAGAGCAGTTTCTGTTCTTTACACCATGACAATAACCATTCATTTAAAGCAAAAAGTCTACTTTCATTGTTTGGAAATCATCAGCATGAAGAAATTGCTAAACTTCACTTCTTGTGTTCCACACACAATGGCAAACTTCAGTCAGTCTGATTCACACTGACAGGAAGAAGAAAGCAGCTGGATAGGAAGACATTAGTGCAAATATCTGATTACATTTGTGATCCATTCAAAGTGAACAAGTTTTGATTACTATACTATACTATAACTCAGAAAATAAAGCAGAACATTAGTCATGGATGTCTAGTATAGTTTAGCTGTACGTCTAAGCGTGTTTAACATCAAATGAACGCGGTATGTTTGCACACGTGATACCGTCTCCACTGCAGCAGCCAATCAGACGTCAGCTGGCGATTTCAGCAAAACTCCTGACATTTCTGATGCATCCATATTCAGATGGACTCTTTCCCACTGCAGATTCAGTGTCTGTGTAACACAAGTAGGTTTAAACTTTAACCCACTGATAAAACTGATCAACATGAAAACCAATGAATAATCTCCTAAAACAGAGAGATTCGATGAATGAAGCACACAAAGTATTTCCCTGACGTGGAATCAGTTTTCAGCTCCTGACATTCTCAAAGATAAAATGATTCCCAACGCGACAGCACTGTTCCCTCGTTCCTAAAATCTTTCAATTAAAGAGAAGAGCAGAAAATGTTTTTATTATAAAGTGCTTCTCATAATGACCGTGCTGGCATTTCTGAGGAAGATGTCATACTCGTCTTCCTCTCACACACGGTTTTAAGAGTCTAATTGGCCGAGGAACTGAGAAGCGTTTGTTAATGAAACTGAAAACACGGAGAGTCGAGGAGCTCCGTCATTCTCCCTAATGAAGCTCTGGACTCCCAAACTGTAGTGTAAAGTGTCTCAAACGTCTGCAGAACCATTTACTCAAACCTACAGCACAGCGAGAGCTGCGGGAACAATAATCCTCATGCATTTCATCTCCTTATGCTAAAAACTGAACTGAATGAAGGCAGATATGATAGAGATGAACAGAAAACAGACAACAAACGCCATCAAACCATAACTCACGAAGGACGAACAATCGAGTAAAGCGAGAGTTGTAACAATTGATTTATGTGGACGGGTCCAGACCTCTTCAGGCCGCTTTATGAGATAAACGGGTTAGAAATGGCCGCACACTATTGACATATGTGATTACATGTGCCATTCATCATAGTAAAATCTGACGCATTAAATCAATGTTGAGCTGCTTCTGTTCAAGGCTGTTAGAGTTAAAGGTCAGCTGTGTTTTTGTCCAGCTGTCTGACAGCCGTCTCCAAATTTATATTAACCCTAATGCGACGGCCGGCTCAGGAACACAGCCAGCGGCTCAACACAAAAATGAAAACATCTTCCTCACAGTTTAGCCCGTGTAAAGCAGACTATATCAGAGAGGACACATGAGATCTGCTCTGTACTTCTGCATCGGTGCGCAGTGAAATCTCCAGCACTTCATACAAACTCTGATTTCTGCTGGGAAACTGAAGTTCATGAACAGATGCAGACTGCAGGCAGAAAGCAGCATATCTGCTGATTTCAGATCAATAATCAATTTACGTGTATCCAGCAAAGGGTTCCAGAGCCGCAGGCCTGATTTAAGACGCGAGCCGCGGGCCGTTTGCTGGACAGACGGAGTCTCACCGATCGGCTCACGGCTGCGTCCGGATCAGACGAGGAACACGGAGCCTGGTTATGAACGCCAGCAGATATCCAACATCAAGAAAAATCATCATGTGTAATGTTTATAATAATATGTTCATATCTTTATGTTTTCAGCAGATTAGAGCTGGATGATAGCATTTGAGCATCTGAAGGGATTCACAAGTTAACTGTTAATAACAGAACTGTACATCATGAAAATAAAAATGGGATCGGTTCTGTTTTCCCAGCGCTAGTGAGAGACTGTTTCTACAAGGTAAAATGGGACCCAAACAAAGAATAAATCACATATTCTCTCATTAATGTTTCTAACAGTCAGATCTCCGGCGTTTCATATGATCTGCATGTAAAGTCTCTCAGATTTCCCATGGAGCCAAAGAGAAAAGCTTTCTTTCTGCAAGATTCTCTCCATCTCCAAACAAACTCACAGATGACGTCAGGATCTCTAGGAATTGGAGCGGTTTTGTGTGGTTAACATCTTCACAGGAGGTTCAGCCATGCAAACACAAGACACAATGACTGCTTACAGCGTGCTGCATTTATGCCCTTTATTTACGAAGCATTAAAACACTCCTGAAAGCACACAGTGGGTCAATCTCAGCTTCCAGAGAGAGCCGTCTGAAGAGCGAAGGGCCTCGCTGACCTCTCTCTGTCTGTCTGGGTCTCAGCACTGACACACTAACAAGATAACAGACCGTTCTTTCTTACATCTGTTTGCTTACCGACATCCATCCATTCAGTCATCTACAGTGGGAACTGGGTGTCAGGCGTCTCTGACTGCGATTTACTGCAGCAAACGCACATCTAGCTTCTGTTTGTCAGCAGTTATTGTGACACAAAACGATTGAACAGTGAGAATCGCAGACGAGAGCCGAGAATCACTGACCTGCGAGACGAAACTCATGAGGAACCAATAATGAGCTGCAGCTTCCCTTCATTACTTCATCTCAGCTGCTGAAGTCAAAGCCAGTCCTGACCAGGTGAAAACACGCAAGACTTACTGCTGTGAAAATAATCAGATAAATGGAATAATTCCAGTCTCTATGAAGGCTGTTGAAGCAGATCTGCGGTCTATTTTCAGCCGTATAACCTGAAGAGACTCTTGCATTCAGACTCACATTTACACTTCAAATGCAGCAGAAACTGAATTAATGCAAAATGAAGAAATGAAATTCATCGGGTATTTCTGCCGTTCAGGAATCAGAATTCCCAGCAGCTCTTCAGCATCCATTTGAAAATCTTTTTGTCTATTTGTCTGATGAAAGGAAATGAATGTATGTCGTCCCGAGGCCCTCAGAAGATGAGGAAAAACATGATTATCAGCAAAGATACGAGCAAGAGGAATCACTTATTAAACGATACACAATCATTCACGACACTCAGTCAGTGCGGAGAATCCAAACAGCAGAGACGACTGAAAACACTGAGCAAACACACAGTAAGTGCCATGATAGAAACTATCCTTGAATAACGAAACGTCATTTCCGTTTGACCGTGATAATACCGTATCACATGCACTTTCTTTGGTATTCTTTTAAGTATCTTGATTGCATGCAAACATTGGGGAATGTTACTTTCAAAAATGTCTTACAATATTGCGTTACTCCCTAAAAAAGTAACTAATTGCATTAGTTACTTTTTATGGGAAATAATGCTACATTACTCAGATTTTTTTATTTTTTATTTAAAGGGGTCATATGATGCTGCTAAAAATAACATTATTTTGTGTATTTGGTGTAATGAAATGTGTTTATGCGGTTTAAGGTTCAAAAAACACATTATTTTCCACATACTGTACATTATTGTTTCTCCTCTATGCCCCGCCTTTCTGAAACACGTCGATTTTTACAAAGCTCATCGTTCTAAAAAAGCGAGGTGTGCTGTGATTGGCCAGCTATCCAGTGCGTTGTGATTGGCCGAATACCTCAAGCGTGAGACGGAAATGTTACGCCCCTCACCATATTGTGATGATGCCCTGTCCGGCCGGAGCAACGACACAAAAATATTAAAACCCATTATAAACGAGGCATTTGTTGCATCCAGTGGGGACATAATTACTGATTATAATGACTTATACTGTCTTTTTACACGTTGGATCCAGGATCAGGAAACAGTCCTCCATAAAATGTGCTGCACACATCTGAATATTTGGGTTGAACTGTTCTGGAACAGTGTTGTAAATACAACTTAACCACTGATTTCTAGTCGTGTCCATTTTTGGAAGACCAAACAAAGTAGTTTCGCTTTCACAACGAAACACAACGTCACACACGGCGGCCTAGAGTGAGCAGAGGCCGGGGGATAAAGTGAGGAACGGCCGGGGGCTAGAGTGAGCAGAGCCGGCGGATTCGATGAAGGAGCGTCCGGCGGGCTTGAAGCAACCACATGTGACGACTCCGGGCTGGACTCCGCTTCGTCCACGGTGAAAGCCGATCCGCCGATCCACAGTGCAAAGTTGATGTATTTCCTCAGCAACCAGCACGGATCAGCTCCAGGCATGACGAAGTGATATCGTCCT